CTTTGGCCATCTCATGTGAAGAGAAGACTCCCTGGAAAAGATCCTGATGTTGGGAAAGTGTGAAGGCAAGAGGAGAAGGGGACAGCAGAGGACGAGATGGATGGACAGGGTCCCCGAAGTGCACCGCATCCTCGGAGACCCAGGTCCGAGCGGCGCGGGCGAGGCAGCGCTTGTGGGGAGCCCGGAGCCGGGAAAGGGGGACGCTCTCTCTGCGCGCCAACGTCCCCTCACGGCCGCCTCACTCCGGCGGCCAATGGCGCGTCGTCTTCCCTCAGAGCGCCTGGCCAATGGCTCCCCGCGCTCCTCTCCGGCCCACCCCGCGTGAGCGGCGCGGCCAATCGCCAGCCCCGTGGCCGGAGGTCGACGCTCCGGAGCTCGACCAATGGCCGCAGACGCCCGATCGGCCTCGGGCTTCAAACCGGCCAATGAGGCGCCCGCCCGAGAATCACCCTCTCCCCGTCCTTCCCTATCACGTGAGACGTGAGCAGTGGGCGGGGCCTGGGAGAGGCGACGGGAGGCCAGAGGCACCATGGAGCGAACGGCGGCGAAGTTCCAGCCCAGCGGTGAGGCGGCGAGGGGCCCTCAGGGAGCCCCGTCGCCCCTGGATACCGGGGAGGGGCGGGGCGTCGCTGAGGAGATCACGTGCCCACGGGGAAGGGACGGGCCTGTGCACATGGTGGGCGGGGCCTGCCAGGGCCCGTTGAAGGGGGCCAACGGTGGAGGGAGGAGCTTGTCCCCTGGGTGGGAGGAGCTTGACAAGGAGGGGCGGAGCCTCTCTCTGGGAGGGCGGGGTCTAGAGGAGGGTTGGGGGCGTTCCCATTGATTGATTGATTAATTGATTGGCAGAGGGGCTCAAGGCAGCCCCACAGATGGTTGACACAGCCACAAAATTAGAAATACTGTAGATACTGTACAGGGGTCCTGAGGGGAAAATCTCATGAAATATGAAATTTATATCTTTATTTCCTCATCCATTAAACTTCTAGGCCAGAGGGCCCCTCTGGGCGAGGTATGCAATGGTACGCCAAAAGATATAAAGATATAAATGCAGAATATACAGATATTCGGAGAGCTCAAGTTAAAGGAAGCCAGATTTCGGTTGAATAGTTTTCAGGAAAAAAAAAACTTTCCTAATTCTTAGAGCAGTACGACAATGGAACCCGTGACCTCAGGAGGTGGCGAGCAGTTCCAACCCTGGAGGCCTTCAAGAGAAAAACTGGGCGACCTTCTGTCAGATCTGCTTTGATTGGGATTCCTGCCCTTGAACAGGGGTTGAACTTGATGGCCTTGTAGGCCCCCTTCCCACTTCACTTTTCTATGATTTAAAAAAAAGCAATCTGGAACAGCCTCTCCAAAATACCATTAAAATCAATCGGATGGCCACCGAAGGCTAAGTTCAGATGTTGTTATTCAGTCGTTTAGTCATGTCCGACTCTTCGTGACCCCATGGACCAGAGAGCACGCCAGGCCCTCCTATTTTCCACTGCCTCCCGGAGTTGTGTCAAAGTCATGTTGGTTGCTGTGGTGACCCTGTCCAACCATCTCATCCTCGGTCGTCCCCTTCTCCTCCTCTTGCCTTCACATTTCCCCAACACTTTTCCAAGGAGTCTACTCTTCTCATGAGATGGCCAAAGTACTGGAGCCTCAGCTTCAGGATCTGTCCTTCCAGGGAGCACTCAGGGTTGATTTCCTTTACAATGGATAGGTTTGTTCTCCTTGCAGTCCAGGGGATTCTCAAGAGCCTCCTCCAGCACCACAATTTAAAAGCATCAATTCTTCGGCGGTCTGCTTTCTTTATGGTCCAGCTCTCACTTCCATACATCGCTACAGGGAAAACCATAGCTTTGACTATACGGACCTTTGTCGGCAAGGTGATATCTCTGCTTTTTAAGAAAGATGCTGTCTAGGTTTGTCATCGCTTTCCTCCCAAGAAGCAGGCGTCTTTTAATTTCATGGCTGCTGTCACCCTCTGCAGTGATCATGGATCCCAGGAAAATAAAATCTGTCACTGCCTCCATATCTTCCCCTTCTATTTGCCAGGAGGTGATGGGACTAGTGGCCATGATCTTAGTTTTTTTGATGTTGAGTTTCAGGCCGTTTTTTGCTCTCTCCTCTTTCACCCTCATTACAAGGTTCTTTAGTTCCT